TACAGATAAAGAAAAGTCCAAATATTGGCTTTTAACAATTTTCCTACATTTTATATGGATTTGTGACATTTACGACTTTTGGTACTTTTTGTCAAAAAGCTTAAAAATATCATTTTTAAAGGCTATTTTTAATTAAGAATAACTTTACAAAAATTGTTATCGTTGATATACATGATAATGTTGTCGATTTGGAGGTTTTATACAAGTTTGTGACATTTACGACAGCTGTAATTTTTTTTGTCGTAAACTGAAATTTTGACTAATATAGATTATTTTCTTTGCTATCCATTGAAATTAGATCTTATTTTTCTAATATTAATAGGTTTTTGACATTTTATACGAGTTTGTGACATTTACGACATTTTTTGATTTTTATGTAAAAAACTATGAAAAAGCTTCCAAAATACAATTCTGACCTAATTAATTGTAAACTTTGACCTTTTCGATGTTTTATACAGGTTTGTGACGTTTACGACAAGTGTCGAAAAATAATTTTTAAAAAATCCGCACCTTCTTGAGGATATCCAAAAATAATTTTTGCTGCACTTCTTTCTTTTCGTTGGACGACAAAGACAATTTTGTAGAAAATCCGGTTTTTTTCCTATCGATTCTAACAAAATCTCCTGTAGGTCCAAAAAACTTGCACCCAACTACATTCCTTTCTCCTATAACAACAACGACTAATATTCTAACTAGCATTTTTCCAGATTTTCTTCTTCTTTGTCTTCCTTTCACATTTTTGATCCGCAGTGCACGAAGTCATTGAACGGAGAACTTGTTGCATTAGATGTGCAGGCTGGCAGGCAACAATTTTCTTAGATCGAAACCAAAAAAAATGAATGGCCGAATATGTTGAGGCCTTCAATCGGACGCATCATCAAAGCCATCAGCATGCCGATGCTGATGTTTGTTCTAACGAGCGCCAAGCAGGTTCTTTTCTAACGAACCAACTGAGGCGAACATTTTTTTAATGTTGTTGTTGTTGCTGTTGATTTTTTTTGTTTCCAGTCCATTGGGTTATTACGAAATTCTGCTGATGCGGATAATCATAATAATTGATAAAATATATAAACGGTTATTGGATGCAGCATGCTTTTGATTAGAAGCTGGGCAATTTGCGATTAATGAAAAAAAAACTAATCGATCGGAATGAAGTGCAGTGCGAGAAAAATTGGAAAAATGCAATGCCTGCATCGATCCTCCAAAAATTCTTTTAGAATTCCACGGCTTAAAACATCCATCGATCCTCCAAAAAATCCATGCCTAAATGGCTCCATCGGCATCCATCGATCCTCCAAACAATCCATGCCTAAATGCCTCCATCGATCCTCCATCGGCATCCATCGATCCTCCATGCCTAAATGCCTCCATCGATCTTCCATCGGCATCCATCGATCCTCCAAAAAATCCATGTTTAAATGCCTCCATCGATCTCCCATCGGCTTCCTACGATCCTCCAAAAAATCCATGCCTAAATGCCTCCATCGGTTTCCATCGATCCTCCAAAAAACCATGCCTAAAAGCATCCATCGATCCTCCATCGGTATCGATCGATTCTCCAAAAATTCTTTTAGAAAATCACGCCTAAAGACCAACATCTATCCTCCAAAAATTCTTTTAGAAAGGCCTCCATCGATCCTCCAAAAATTCTTTTAGAAATGCCTCCATCGATCATCCAAAACTTCTTTTAGAAATTTACGTCTAAAGACCACCACCTATCCTCCAAAAATTCTTTTAGATGTGCCTCCATCGATCCTCCAAAAATTCTTTTAAAAATCCACGCCTGCATCGATCCTCCAAAAATTCTTTTAAAAATCCACGCCTGCATCGATCCTCCAAAAATTCTTTTAAAAATCCACGCCTGCATCGATCCTCCAAAAATTCTTTTAAAAATCCACGCCTGCATCGATCCTCCAAAAATTCTTTTAAAAATCCACGCCTAAAAGCCTGCATCGATCCTCCAAAAATTCTTTTAAAAATCCACGCCTAAAAGCCTGCATCGATCCTCCAAAAATTCTTTTAAAAATCCACGCCTAAAAGCCTGCATCGATCCTCCAAAAATTCTTTTAAAAATCCACGCCTAAAAGCCTGCATCGATCCTCCAAAAATTCTTTTAAAAATCCACGCCTAAAAGCCTGCATCGATCCTCCAAAAATTCTTTTAAAAATCCACGCCTAAAAGCCTGCATCGATCCTCCAAAAATTCTTTTAAAAATCCACGCCTAAAAGCCTGCATCGATCCTCCAAAAATTCTTTTAAAAATCCACGCCAAAAGCCTGCATCGATCCTCCAAAAATTCTTTTAAAAATCCACGCCTAAAAGCCTGCATCGATCCTCCAAAAATTCTTTTAAAAATCCACGCCTAAAAGCCTGCATCGATCCTCCAAAAATTCTTTTAAAAATCCACGCCTAAAAGCCTGCATCGATCCTCCAAAAATTCTTTTAAAAATCCACGCCTAAAAGCCTGCATCGATCCTCCAAAAATTCTTTTAAAAATCCACGCAAAAGCCTGCATCGATCCTCCAAAAATTCTTTTAAAAATCCACGCCAAAAGCCTGCATCGATCCTCCAAAAATTCTTTTAAAAATCCACGCTTAAAATCCTGCATCGATCCTCCAAAAATTCTTTTAAAAATCCACGCCTAAAAGCCTGCATCGATCCTCCAAAAATTCTTTTAAAAATCCACGCCTAAAAGCCTGCATCGATCCTCCAAAAATTCTTTTAAAAATCCACGCCTAAAAGCCTGCATCGATCCTCCAAAAATTCTTTTAAAAATCCACGCCTAAAAGCCTGCATCGATCCTCCAAAAAATTGTTTTAAAAATCCACGCCTAAAGACCTGCATCGATCCTCCAAAAAATTGTTTTAAAAATCCACGCCTAAAGACCTGCATCGATCCTCCAAAAATTGTTTTAAAAATCCACGCCTAAAGACCTGCATCGATCCTCCAAAAAATTGTTTTAAAAATCCACGCCTAAAGACCTGCATCGATCCTCCAAAAAATTGTTTTAAAAATCCACGCCTAAAGACCTGCATCGATCCTCCAAAAATTTGTTTTAAAAATCCACGCCTAAAGACCTGCATCGATCCTCCAAAAATTTGTTTTAAAAATCCACGCCTAAAGACCTGCATCGATCCTCCAAAAATTTGTTTTAAAAATCCACGCCTAAAGACCTGCATCGATCCTCCAAAAATTTGTTTTAAAAATCCACGCCTAAAGACCTGCATCGATCCTCCAAAAATTTGTTTTAAAAATCCATGCCTAAAGACCTGCATCGATCCTCCAAAAATTTGTTTTAAAAATCCACGCCTAAAGACCTGCATCGATCCTCCAAAAATTTGTTTTAAAAATCCATGCCTAAAGACCTGCATCGATCCTCCAAAAATTTGTTTTAAAAATCCACGCCTAAAGACCTGCATCGATCCTCCAAAAATTTGTTTTAAAAATCCACGCCTAAATGCCTGCATCGATCCTCCAAAAATTCTTTTATAAATCCACGCCTAAAGACCACCATCGATCCTGCAAAAATTTGTTTTAAAAATCCACACCTAAAGACCACCATCGATCCTGCAAAAATTTGTTTTAAAAATCCACACCTAAAGACCTGCGTCGATCCTCCAAAAATTTGTTTTAAAAATCCACGCCTAAAGACCTTCATCGATCCTCCAAAAATTTGTTTTAAAAATCCACGCCTAAAGACCTGCATCGATCCTCCAAAAATTTGTTTTAAAAATCCACGCCTAAAGACCTTCATCGATCCTCCAAAAATTTGTATTAAAAATCCACGCCTAAAGACCTTCATCGATCCTCCAAAAATTTGTTTTAAAAATCCACGCTTCTAAAAAAATTTTCTGACCAAAGGCTACCCTCATTCTGTTTTTGAGCTTCCCATACGTATTATTTATTCCCACCGAACCCAATTCAAAAAAATCTGCGCGATTTCCATCCTCCAAATCCTAAAAACAAAAGCCATATTAAACGCTACATTGCCCTCACTTCTATATATGTCGGAGAGAATTTTCTGCAATCTAATACCCTCCGCGACATATCGATGTCCAGCAAATGGTGTAAATTAAAAAAAATTACGACAACAACAAGTACACAATGAAAAGAAAGCTGTACCTGCAATGCCCTCACTATGATGCTCTGTTACAGATCAGAGCATCATCTAAGTGCCTCCCATAAACCTCAACCTGCCGCGGCAGCATCCATCTCACAGCTCACCTGTAATCTGAGCGGATTGCTGGCATGCTTCGCTGCCGAATCACAAGTATTGTTTTAGTGTGTCGCGTGACCACATCGTCGGAACGTCGGAATCTCAATTGTTAACAACAATTCGGCCAAGACTTCGCTAAGGCTTGGCGAAAGCCAACAACAAAAATAAAAATCGAAGTCAAAACAAAGCTGAGCTGCGTAGTGATGAGAAGGTTTGTGGAGGTTCTCTGCGGGAATATTTGTATGAGACAATCCACGCCTTGGGTAGAACCCCTTAAAATAATTTTTAAAAAATCCTGGTCCGCCTGAAGACCCTCAAAGAATTATTAAAATTAAATCATCACGATTGTCCCATATTTTTTGTCAAGCTGTTCTCCCATCTCTCAGGCAGCGCTGTTGTGTTTCACTCTCTTTCTCTCTCTGCCATGGGGGGCAGCTACGCTGCTGCCCTGATGTTAGTAGAACCCAAACAAAGCGAAGTGTTAACTTGGCTAACATCCGACTAAGGCAAACAGTTAAACGCGGCTTGAGCAACGGTCAAGAACATTTACGGATTCGGTCATTTGGTTTGAAAAATATCGACCGTATCTGACTTCGAGTGTGTGTGTGTGCGAGAGTGTGGAACCCATAATATTGTGGCTAAGCCAAGTGAAAGGAAAGAAAGTTGTGGAACTATTAAAAAAAAACTATTTGCGAATTCTATAGAAAGAGAATTTTTCGAGAAGAAACCAAAAATCGGAAGTCGGATTTTTTTAATTAATTCAAACAAAAATGAATTATCTAATAATGTTAATGGTCTGCATGAGCTTGGCCTCAGCAGCCATGGCCGGTTATTTACCGGGTTATGCTTCGAAATATGAGACAACGACTTCGAATTTAATTGAAAAAACTCCTGGAGGTATGGTAAGGGCTGATTCTTCCTCATCATCCTCCTCAACCTCGTCCACCTCCTCCTCATCATCATCATCATCCTCTTCAACCAGCAGCACCACCACCGAATCCATGACAGATGACCCCGGTTTGGTGCAAGAAGTGATTTCCCAACTACCCGTCACTCTGCCAGCCCTTCTCCCCGATATGGACACCCCCAAGCGACGTGTCATCACCTATGATCAACGTCAAGAGGGTCAATATAATATTCGTGCCGATTTGGATAATTTCATGTTCCTGCTGATACCGGCCAGCGCCACGGATAATTTGAGTATTTTCGATATCTTAGGAAAATCTGGTTCGAGGCGAACTCCCCATTCCTCATTAAAATCATCGAATAAAAAGAAATATTCTCCCAGTAATTCGGGTCTGAAGTCGGTGGATGGTGGTTCTTTGAAATATCGTCAAGCTATGAAGAGTTCGGTGGAGTATTTACCAAGGTCTAGTGAACATTTATCACCCTCTTCGAGAGTGGGAGAATTTATTGAAGGCCGTACACCATATCATGTGGACATATCTGCCCTGCATGATGATGGAGAGGTGCAGTCACGTTTGAATCCCGATAGGCAGGTTGATGTCCTACCACCACCCTCATATCCTTTGGCCTATCAACATCTGATGAAACCCTATTTGGAGGCGGATTCGACAATTATTCAGGCCTTGCCACCGGCAGAATTGGCAGCCAATCGGGCTAATTCAGGTAAATATTTTAAATTAAATAATGGATTAAAAAAAATATTTTTGGGGGCCCATGAGATGCGTGGATTTTTAAAAAAATATTTTTGGAGGTCCATAAGAGGCTCTAGTAGAGGCCTGGATTTTTTAAAAATTATTTTTGGGGTCCATAAGAGGCTCTAGTAGAGGCCTGGATTTTTTTAAAATTATTTTAAAAATTATTTTTGGGGGTCCATAAGAGCCTTTTCGAGGCGTGGATTTTTTAAAAATTATTTTTGGGGGTCCATAAGAGGCTCTAATCGAGGCGGGAATTTTTTAAAAATTATTTTTGGTGGTCCATAAGTGGCTCTAGCCGAGGCATGGATTTTTTAAAAAATATTTTTGGGGTCCATTTTTGGTGTCCATAAGAGGCGAGGATTTTTTAAAAAATATTTTTGGGGGTCCATAAGAGGCGTGGATTTTTTAAAAAATATTTTTGAGGGTCCATAAGAGGCGTGGATTTTTAAAAAAATATTTTTGGGGGTCCATAAGAGGTGTGGATTTTTTAAAAAATATTTTTGGGGGTCCATAAGAGGCGTGGATTTTTTAAAAAATATTTTTGGGGTCCATAAGAGGCTCTATTCGAGGCGTGGATTTTTTAAAAATTATTTTTGGGGGTCCATAAGAAGCTCTAGTCGAGGCGTGGATTTTTTAAAAATTATTTTTGGGGGCCCATAAGAGGCTCTATTCGTGGGGTCCATAAGAGGCGTGGATTTTTAAAAAAATATTTTTGGGGGTCCATAAGAGGCGTGGATTTTTAAAAAAATATTTTTGGGGGTCCATAAGAGGCGTGGATTTTTTAAAAAATATTTTTGGGGTCCATAAGAGGCCTGGATTTTTTAAAAAATATTTTTGGGGGTCCATAAGAGGCGTGGATTTTTTAAAAAATATTTTTGGGGGTCCATAAGAGGCGTGGATTTTTTAAAAAAAAATTTTTGGGGGTCCATAAGAGGCGTGGATTTTTTAAAAAATATTTTTGGGGGTCCATAAGAGGCGTGGATTTTTTAAAAAATATTTTTGGGGGTCCATAAGAGGCGTGGATTTTTTAAAAAATATTTTTGGGGGTCCATAAGAGGCGTGGATTTTTTAAAAAAATATTTTTGAGGCTCTAGTCAAGACGGGGATTTTTTAAAAAATATTTTTGGGGGTCCATAAGAGGCGTGGATTTTTTAAAAAATATTTTTGGGGGTCCATAAGAGGCGTGGATTTTTTAAAAATTATTTTTGCGGCTCTAGTCGAGGCGTGGATTTTTTAAAAATTATTTTTGCGGCTCTAGTCGAGGCGTGGATTTTTTAAAAATTATTTTTGCGGCTCTAGTCGAGGCGTGGATTTTTTAAAAATTATTTTTGCGGCTCTAGTCGAGGCGTGGATTTTTTAAAAATTATTTTTGCGGCTCTAGTCGAGGCGTGGATTTTTAAAAATTATTTTTGCGGCTCTAGTCGAGGCGTGGATTTTTTAAAAATTATTTTTGCGGCTCTAGTCGAGGCGTGGATTTTTTAAAAATTATTTTTGCGGCTCTAGTCGAGGCGTGGATTTTTAAAAATTATTTTTGCGGCTCTAGTCGAGGCGTGGATTTTTTAAAAATTATTTTTGCGGCTCTAGTCGAGGTGTGGATTTTTTAAAAATTATTTTTGCGGCTCTAGTCGAGGCGTGGATTTTTTAAAAATTATTTTTGCGGCTCTAGTCGAGGCGTGGATTTTTTAAAAATTATTTTTGAGGCTCTAGTCGAGGCGTGGAATTTTTAAAAATTATTTTTGAGGCTCTAGTCGAGGCGTGGATTTTTTAAAAATTATTTTTGAGGCTCTAGTCGAGGCGTGGATTTTTTAAAAATTATTTTTGAGGCTCTAGTCTAAATTCTAATTTTTTTCTTTCATTCCCAGAACCCCTGTCCAATCCCGGCTATTATCGTTTGGCCCGCTACATACGAGGTGATACCTATTTGGATTCGAATCGTTTGGGTGGAAACTCTCCCTCTTCGCATACGGCTGCCACAGGCCGAAGAATATCCCACATTCCAATGTACCGAGCCGATATGTCAATGGGTGCCGGACAATTGTATCCACCAATTGATATACCCAATTTTAATTTACCCTCCACGGCACGCAGTTTCGATGACACCCCCTCGACATCAAGTGAAGAATTGGAATCGAAACAAACTTTGGAAGGTGGAGATGGAGATTTGAAATATGAAGATGTCTATTTACCCACAATTCACATTCGCCCATTGGAGGATGATCTCGAATTGGAGTTGCACACCGATGGTCTGATTGATGGTGAAGCCAAGGCCCTGCTCAGTGATGGTATTGAACGTTGTGCTCCCGGCAAGAGGCGGGATAGTTATGGGGTATGCCGTGAAATTGAGGGCTACTAAAGAGGAGAGAATATTTCGGAGGAGGAGGTTTTCTTTTTTAAGGTTTGAACTGATCAAACCATGACTGCTTAATTAAGATCTTTAATATTTAGTGTATAAGTTTAAATAAATTTATTTTTTAATAATATTTAGAAAAAAATAGGTTAATTTTTAAATATTATTTTTTTTAATTTTAAATATTTTTAATTTTTATGCGCAATTTATTTACTCCACTATTGGAGATAATTTTGATATGGTTATACTAAATATATTATAAAATATTTATTTATAAGATTTTTTTTTTCAAATTTAAATAAAATTAAAAATATATATAAAATTTATTTCAAAATATTTTAAATGTTTTAAAATGTTTTTTGAACATTTTTAAATAGGCGTGGATTATTAAAAATTGTTTTGGGATCTCTACATAAGACGTAGATATTTTTATACCCTCCACCATAGTATGGAGGGTATATTAGATTTGTTTTTCCGTTTGTAACGCATCGAAATCATCATTTCCGACCGTAAAATTCTATGACGATCTGATCATGTCCGTCTGTCCGTTGTAATCAATCTACTGTCTAAACGAATTCAGATTGAACGCCAACATTTTGCATGGTTTGCAGGCAGGTCAAGTTCGATGATGGGCTATATCGGTCCCCGTTTAGGCATAGCTCCCATATAAGGGTACCCCCCAAATTTCGGTATTTTGGGGTTCTTGAGCGCGTATTTAACCGAATTCGCTGAAATTTGGTACATTGGGTTCTTATTGGGCACCAAATATCTCTGCTAAAAATTATAAATATCGGTCCACTTTTTCAAGTAGCCCCTATATAACGGTACCTCCTAATTTTCAATATTTTGGGGGTTCTTGAGCGCGTTTTCAACCGAATTCGCTGAAATTTGGTACATTGGGTTCTTATTGGGCACCAAATATCTCTGCTAAAAATTATAAATACAAGTCAATTTTTTCTGGTAGCTCCCATATAAGGGTACCCCCCAAATTTCGGTATTTTGGGGTTCTTGAGCGCGTTTTCAACCGAATTCACTGAAATTTGGTATATTGGGTTCTTATTGGGTACCAAATCTCTCCACAAGAAATTATAAATATAGGTCAATTTTTCCGGATAGCCCCCATATAAGGGTACCCCCAATTTTCGATATTTTGAGGTTCTTGAGCGCGTTTTTTAATCGAATTGGGTGAAATTTGGTACAATGGGTTCTTATTGGATACCAAATTTCTCCACAAAAAAATTATAAATATAGGTCGATTTTTTCGGGTAGCCCCCATATAACCCCCATTTTTGATATTTTGGGGTTCTTGATCGTATTTTTCCTCCGAATTGGCTGTAATTTAGTACTTTGAGTTCTTATTGGGTATCAAATCTCTCCACAAAAAATTATAAATAAAGGTCAATTTTTTCGGGTAGCCCTCATATAAGGGTACCCCCAATTTTCGGTATCTTGGGGTTCTTGAGCGGGTTTTTCAATTTTGTAGTCGTATATGGTAACAAATCTCCATACCAAAAATTTTTAATATGGGGCACCAAAGTCCCTATATATATTTCGATTTGCACGAAATTTGGCATAACGTACTGAATTGAGCCTAGAGTGATGTCTGCCAAGTTTCGTGAAAATCGATTCAGATTTAGATATAGCCACCATGTATATTTTAGTCCGATTTCATGTAAATTGTGCACCAAAGTCATTATATATCTTTCGATTTGCACGAAATTTGGCATAACGTACTGAATTAATGCTGGAATGATGTGAGCTGAGTTTTGTGAAAATCGATTCAGATTTAGATATAGCTCCCATATATAGTTTCGTCCGATTTCATGTAAATTGTGCACCAAAGTCCCTATATGTCTTTCGATTTGCACGATATTTGGCATAACGTACTGAATTGAGCCTAGAGTGATATCTGCCAAGTTTCGTGAAAATCTGTTCAGATTTAGATATAGCTCCCATATATAGTTTCGTCCGATTTCATGTAAATGGTGCACCAAAGTCCCTATATATCTTTCGATATGCACGAAATTTGGCATAACGCAATGAATTAGGTCTAGAATGACGTGTGTTAATGTCCTGAAAATCGGTTCAAATTTAGATATAGCTCCCATATATATATTTTCGTCCGATTTTACGTTCACCAAGGAGCCTACGTCTGTTCCAAATACAAGAGATAAAATTGTGGACGGCGCTTTGTGCTGCAACATACCAAATAACCCACCTTTGCTCAATTATGTCCCGATTTACATACATACACACATTTGCACGGTTTTATAGAAATGGTACCCCATTGAATCCAAGTCTATGGGGTTTTGTAATAGGTTCAAATATTTATGTAAATCACACATTTAATTTCATCCGATTCCATATCCAAGGTCCTCTACTACTGTTCTGTTTACAGTATATTGCATATATTAGAGCCTCTTTCATGTACCCACAGTGGTGAAGGGTATCATATAGGCGACCCCGTCCGATTTTTGAACTTTCCTTACTGGCTTAAAATAAGTTTTAATGGACTATAAGAGGTTTGGATTTTTTAAAAATTATTTTTGGGGCCTCTACATAAGGCGTGGATTTTTTAAAAATTATTTTTGGGGCCTCTACATAAGGCGTGGATTTTTTAAAAATTATTTTGGGGCCTCTACATAAGGCGTGGATTTTTTAAAAAATTATTTTGGGGCCCTCTACATAAGGCGTGGATTTTTTAAAAATTATTTTTGGGGCCTCTACATAAGGCGTGGATTTTTTAAAAATTATTTTTGGGGCCTCTACATAAGGCGTGGATTTTTTAAAAATTATTTTTGGGGCCTCTACATAAGGCGTGGATTTTTTAAAAATTATTTTTGGGGCCTCTACATAAGGCGTGGATTTTTTAAAAATTATTTTTGCGGCCTCTACATAAGGTGTGAATTTTTTAAAAATTATTTTTGGGGCCTCTACATAAGGTGTGAATTTTTTAAAAATTATTTTTGGGGCATCTACATAAGGTGTGAATTTTTTAAAAATTATTTTTGGGGCCTCTACATAAGGCGTGGATTTTTTAAAAATTATTTTTGCGGCCTCTACATAAGGCGTGGATTTTTTAAAAATTATTTTTGCGGCCTCTACATAAGGCGTGGATTTTTTAAAAATTATTTTTGCGGCCTCTACATAAGGCGTGGATTTTTTAAAAATTATTTTTGCGGCCTCTACATAAGGCGTGGATTTTTTAAAAATTATTTTTGCGGCCTCTACATAAGGCGTGGATTTTTTAAAAATTATTTTTGGGGCCTCTGCATAAGGCGTGGATTTTTTAAAAATTATTTTTGGGGCCTCTACATAAGGCGTGGATTTTTTAAAAATTATTTTTGGGGCCTCTACATAAGGCGTGGATTTTTTAAAAATTATTTTTGGGGCCTCTACATTAGGCGTGGATTTTTTTTAAAATTATTTTTGGGGCCTCTACATAAGGCGTGTATTTTTTTTTAAATTATTTTTGGGGCTCTACGTAAGGCGTAGATTTTTTTTGGTTGACCTTCAACTTTCTTTGTTAAAATCTTTGTGTAAAAAATTATACCATCTTAAGAGATTATTTATTAAAAAAAAATAAAATAATTAAATATTTCTGTTTTTTGGTTGGTTGTATATAAATTAGCTTAACGAAAGAAATGAATACAAATTTGTTGTATTTATATTAGAATTACAATTTATAATGACAACAAATTTGTTGTTGTTGTTTCAAAAGATGCGCTTGAATGCTTCGCTGATTTTTTTTATTGTCTTCTGGTTACTTCTATAATTTTTGTTGTGGCCATTAGAAAAAATTAAAAATAGAATTAAATAAATTCTGAATATTTCTATAGGGTTACGGAGAAAATGATTTTGATAAGAAAAAAAAAACAACCGACCCACCCCAATGTTTGTGGCCTTTATATCCCCTTTAGGCTTATTAAATGTACAAAAAAAATATATGATGTACCGAAGACACAAAGGCATGCAGCAGCAGCTATAATCAGCTTTGTTCTCCAGGCCAACAACAAAAAAGAAAACATTGTTGTCCGGAGAAAAAAATCCACAACAACAAAGAAGAAGAATTCAATTTTAAGTTTCCACCAAACAACAAAAAAATAGAGGTCCTGCTATGGGCAAAAAAAAACATGACCAGCAATTATTTTCTTCTTCTTCTTCTGAGCGCACTTCGCTTAGCTTCTTTCTTCTTCTTTTGTTCTTTATCAGACGTGATGGGGACAACAACAGGTAAGCAACACCAGGCAGATTTCTTGGCAATCGAATTTTGTGATATAAAACACCCGAAAGAACCCGTTGCATTTCCGGTTTTCGTGAAAGAAGACAGGCAGGGTGGCTGGCTGGCGAACGGCATGGCTTAGTCAAGCAAAAAAAAAAAAAAAAACACAAATAAAACCAAAAACAGTTAAGAGAAACCGCATGCGGACAACTGTTGCCAGTAATAAAAATCATTATTCTGATTGATAAGTTTTTGTTTATTTATTTCACGAGCCGGGTACGAGTCATTGAACTTGAAAATCGCACATACATAAATAAAATTTTTATGGGACATAAATGCCAAAAAAATTCTTAAAAATCCACGTCTTGTGTTAGGACATAAAAATAATTTTTCAAAAAAAAAAAAAAATCCACGCCTTATGGTAGATCCTTAAAAATAATTTAAAAAAAATCCACGCCTTATGGTAGACCCTTAAAAATAATTTTTCAAAAAATCCACGCCTTATGGTAGACCCCTAAAAATATTTTTTCAAAAAATCCACTCCTTATATAGATGGCCAAAAATATTTTTTAAACCGGTGAGAGGAGCAATATAGTTGGACGGGGCCGACCATACGATAACCTACACACCTATCACGGAACTCTAACTTTCTTACTTACTTACCTGGCTTGTGACAGAACTTTTGTTCCATAAGCCGAGCTTAGAAAAGATTTCCAGGCGCGTCGGTCTTTTGCGCAGTTTTTCCAATTTGAAAGACCATTTTCGGCGACGTTGTCTTCGACTTGATCTT